TATTCTCAGACCTGCTAGCAAAGGTGTTCTGAACCTGCCCTGGGCCATCCAAGCCTTACTGGGTAAAAAACAAGAGTGCTGCAAGCTGCAAGCTGCAAGCTGCAAGCTGCAAGCTGCACGCGAACCTCCAGTCTGTCCTCCCCTCCCCAAAGTCCTTGACGCCCCTGATGTCTGCAGCTAACGTGCCACATCCAGAAACGGGAGAGTGCAGGCGCGGTGGGAGAGGACCTCAGACCTCAGGCTGACCTTCTGTTGGCTACCTTCCCCATCTTTATGAAACTCCGACCTGTCTTCTGCCTCTGGGTCTTCATTAGTAGGAGAATTAAGCAGCTGGGCAGGCAGTTCTGTGGTCTCTCTTGAGTCTGTGAGTTGGTTTATCTTTCTGTCTGTCCACTAATCCCACCAGCCATATTCCTTTTCAGAAAAAAAAAAAAATCATAGGGGCTGGATCGATAACTTAGTGATTAAGAGCACAGCCGTCCTTAAGGAGGACCTGCACTCTGTCCTCGGCACTCACACTGAGCAGCTCAGAACTGCCTGCGACTCCAGCTCCAGGGCATCTGACTTCATCTACGGCCTCTGCACCTTACACATATGGCATATACCTATACATTCACATAAATAAAGGTAAAATTGAAAATAGAAAACAATATGTTGTTGACTTCTTTAGTACAGTGCTGTATTTGATATGTATGAGTAACATTCACTATACAAATGTGTCTGGCCTGGTGGAAAAGTTAGATTCATCTCAAAATAACGTACATCATAGGCTCCTCAATTTCATGCATTAATGTGTTAATGAAATAATTGTGTGTACACAGTTTAATGAGTAAAAATAACAATACAGAAAGAAACATGCTATCTGATAAGGCACATCAAAATAAGAGTACCCACACATGCTGTGTTGTAAGTTTCTAGAAACAGTAACTTTTCCCGAGCCAAATCTGCCACTGGGTGAAGCACCCAGGGGAGCCTTTATGTTTTTAAGAAGCCAGATCCTCTGAAAGGTCAAAACCCTTTCTAAAACAGTAATAATCAGTGACAATTGTCAAAATTTATTTGGGGATACTACAGGTCGGTGTTTTCAAAAGAATTCGCAGCCCCGTTTTCTTCATTCCTTGGTGACCTCTCTCTCCCTCTCCCTTCCTCCCTCTTTTATTTCACTTATTTCCACTATCTGTTAGCGACTCTGCTAGCATGGCGGAGACGGGATTTGATGTCACGAAAATGGTAGCCCACAAGAGACACTCCTTACAAAAGCAGCTCCTTTCCCCCACCTAACCCCCCCCCCCCGAAATAATAACAATTTGCTAAATTGTTGGGAAGTTGTTCTAATTCCTTGTCCAAATTATTACTCGCCCTTTAGATTAGAAATGAGGCCAGGGTTAGCAATCAGCTATAAATGGTAGGATTTTTCAAGTATGAAGCTCTTGTCTGATTGTGAAGTGGAGGCCATTACTGCCTGATTGGGCCTTTTTTTTTTCTCCTTCCAGCCTGCTTGATTTGTGGTTGAGAGTGCATATTCACTCCTGTACTGTGAGCAATCACAGCTTCCCCCTCTCGTTTTTTTGCTCAGCGATTTAGGGTCCACGACTCTGGCACAGCTGCCACCTTTTAGCCACCATCATGCAGAACATGTCTTTAAAAAGAGAGAGTGGGGGGATGGGAGCAGGTAACCACTGTGCATTCACTCCCTAATGCACCTATTTTCTATTTTCTAAGAGAGAAGTTTTTCACTTGAAATAACAAGCATGTTGGAACTTGAACTCCTATACTCAATAAGGAAGTTTGGAAAGAGCCCTGAAGCATATATTTCCATTTCTTTAACCCTTCAGAAATAAGCAGGTGTGGGGTCCAGAGCCAGGACCGTGGCACTGGGATCCACATTTCCTACAGTGCTAGCATAAGCTTTGTCTCTGGGAAATAGCGCAGAAACAGGTACTTTCTGTTCTCCTTGTCTGGGGTTGTGGAGGGGGCGTTTAATAAAATTTCCCCAAACCCCAAAGTGCAAGGTCTGTAGTAAGAAGAGATTTAAAATTCTTGCAGTTTTATTTTATCCAGGTTAGATATGACATGGGACCACTTCCGACTTAAGAAGACCTCATCGTCAAGAGTGACAGACTTTTTTTGCCTATGAGTTAAGTTCGGCGTCTCTCACTCCTTGGGATGCATTAGAGAAAGCCAGGAAAATAAGGGTTTCAAGGTTGGAAGCCTGCTCGATCTTGAAGCTTTCTGGATCCGGTTAGTGGGCATCGACTACTCAATCCACCAGCCTATCCCTCTTCTTCTGCCCCTGCTGGCCCAAAACAAAATGCCAGAATAATTTCCAAAAACAATCTTTTTCTAAATACGCTGTGGAAGTCTAGGTCACAATGAACATGAATAATATGGTGAGGCTCAAGAATGTGAATAATGTGCCCAGGAGTAATGTGCTGTTACTCCTCAGCATCTCTGAACTCACAATACACTTCCTTTTTTTGCCAGCTTCAGAAATAATATAATTCTATTTTAATCCTGATTTTTAAAAATTAAAGAAAAAAGATATAATTTACCATCCATTCACTGCATGGTTCAATAAACTTTTGTATATTTATTGAATTGTGCAGTTATTAGGTATCCACAATCTAAAGATAGAATATTTCTGTCATCCTAAACAGAGGTCCCCTGTTTGTAGTCCCATCCCACCCAGGGCCTGGGCAACACTCATCTTTTTTATCTGTCTCTGTAGATTTGAGATCTGAGGACATTTTTCAAAAATGCGATTGTGCAGTCTATGCTTTGTTACATCAGTACTCTCACCGGGCTGTCGTTGACGTTTGGTGTGACATAGGGGTCGCTACATGCTCCAGCTTTTGTTTCTTTTCATTTCTAGACAATATTTTATTTTGTGGATATACCACATTGTATTAATTCATTGATACAAGAGGCTTGAATATAACAGTGTTTTAATTTCAGCAATTGTTAAGGATGCTGTTACTAAATTCCTATACAAACCTTTGTGTGAGAAACATGCATAATACATGCGCGCACACACACACACACACACACACACACACACACACACACACACACACACGAGTAGAGAAACTGCCAAAGTTTTTGCAGATGGCTCCTTTCTTGTGAATTCCTACAGTAATGTGTGAGTAGCCATTTTACCATATCCATGCTGATACTTGTTACTGTCTGTCCTTATCACAGCTATTTTGGTAGGTGACAAAATGACCTTATAGGTTTTTTTTTTCTGTATCCCTCTAGTGACTGATGGCAGAAGCAGTCATTCCATAATCATATTGGACATTTGTATATTTCTTTACATAAATGTCTGGTCCATCCCTTTGCCTGTTTTTAAGCTGGGTTATTTCTAACATATGGATACACAGTTGTGACCAGGTGTATGATTAGTGGATTTTCTCCCAGTCTGTGAGCTGATTTTTCTCTTTCTAATTTCTCTGAAGCCCCAAAGTTTTTAGCTTTGAGCAAATCTCATAAACTCTTAATGGATCACAGTATTCTACCACTTCTGAATACGATTACAGGGCTGGAAAAGTGGCTCAGTGATGAAGAGCACTGGCTGCCTCTGCAGAGGTCCAGGGTTCAGTTCCTAGCATACATGTGTGGTGGCTCCCAACTTTGTGTAACTCCAGTTCCGGGGATTCCAATGCCCTCTACTGGCCCCCACAGTCACTGTGTACATACACCCATGAAATGACAAAAAATGAATCTTTATAAATGGATTTAAATACTATTGTTTAAAATTAATAAGCTAAAGATTCAAGGCAAATCGATTATCCTTGCATCCAAATAAGGATATAGAAAGCTTGTTTGGGTTGTTTACATCTTTAAAATAATCTGAAAGTTTTGAGAATAGGTTTGCTAGATATTACTGCTGGCATCATGTTTCTCATAAAACTAGAGCAGAAACTCAAATTTCAGCCTTGCCAGATCATAAGCTATCTGCAGGAATGTATCTTTAAAATGAATATGAGGCAGAAAGAAAGGGAGAGAGAGGGGGGAAATAGAGAGAGAGATAGAGATAGATAGATAGATAGATAGAGAGAGAGAGAGAGAGAGAGAGAGAGAGAGAGAGAGAGAGAGAAGAACCTACTTTTTGTGGTAGCACTGCTAAGAATGGCAAATGGCCAAAGAAAAACAGCAAGCCCAGAAATTTCATCTCATGGGTGGAATGCCAAGCTTTGCTCTCAGGACCAGTGTGGTGTGTGATTCCTCACATGTTCTCCTGGAAAGGAAGGTCACTGCTGAATGCCAATTGTCCTGCTTAGATTTTATTGTTGACTCGATATAACATAGAGTAACCTGGGATGAATAAACAGTTGCCCAGATCAGATCAGACTGTAACCATGTCAGTGACAGATTTTCTCCAGTGACGACTGTTTAGGATGGCATCAATATTAAGGAATACTCTTACTTGATTTAGTAATCCTCAGAGTGTTTTGTACATAAAATTCAGATAAAACTACAAATCACTAATTCCATTATGTTATTTCGTGGATGCGAGATTGTGGCGAATTCAGGGTTAACAATAGCAAGGGTGTATGGCTTGAAGACGTCCATCAAATTCCTTTGTCTGCAACTAGACATGTAACTCACGTTGTTTTCATGCTTTCAACTGGATTACTTTTATAAAAAGTGACTTTCAGCTGAAGCTCAGCTAAGACTATAAAAGCACACAGTCAATCCTTGCTTGCCAGGACTGAATAATTAGTTCAAATCAATGTACAGAAAACTGAGCTGAAGATAAAGTCAACGCTATTCATTAGTGTCTTCCTAGTGAGGCTGAGATTCAAGAATAAATCACAATTAACTAAACTGGAACCATGTTAAGTACAGTCAAGTATCCCTAGAAACAAAACCAGGTGAATTGAGAATAAGAAATGGTTCCTTACATACATACATCCTGCAATGCTTGTCTTTGAAGCTTAGTAAACTCACCTGTGTGGTTCCCAAACACGAATACTGTAAATGACAACACTGTGCTGTAGTCTAAAAGGCGGACATCCCTGGTAGCACGTCAGACCACGAGAGACTCCTAAGACATAAATAGAAAAGGCACCATTCCCAAAATGAATCCCAAGTTGAAAGAGAGCAAGTGAAGACTGTAGGTGTATGCAGCACTCCGTTGGATAGTGCCACAGCTGTTTCGTAACGACCACTGCTGCAGTCAGTAGGGGAGGTAAGACTGGGGCTGGGTGAACCTGAGGGTAGAGAAAGGAGTGCAAAGGTCAAGTCTCAAACACTGATGGCATGGGCAACATAGACGGGGGTTGAAGTGGGGCTATAGAGCACTCTAGACAACAGCGGGGTGGACCCCAAAGTGTTGTGCAGTGCCTATAATAAATCTTCCCCTGTAATGAGGATATAAAAGTGGATCTTTAAATAACTGAAAACTTCTCATGAAGAGTACTAACTACAGACTGGGGAGATAGTTCTGCTGGCAAAGTGCTTGCCATAAATGAATGGGATCTGAGTTTGGACATAAAATGTCATACCTGCAATCCTAGTCCTGGGAGGTAGAGACAGGAGGGCCATTGGGCCATGCTGGTCAGTCAGCCCAGATGAATCAGGGAGCTCTGGGTTCAGGTAGAGATCCTGTCTCCAAAAGGAAGATGGCGAGTGACCGAGGAACACCTGACATCCACCCCTGGCCCTCACATACATGCACACACACACACACACACACACACACACACACACACACGTACAACCACACATGGCATACACAGTATGCACACCACGTTCACATGTACACTCACATACACATACCGTATGCACACACAAAGAGTACTGATTGTGCATACTAGTCAAACTAGTAAAGCAACACATAAAGTGTGTGGAACTAGTGGTAGCTCATTCAGCAAGCATGGTTGGGCTTCCTAAATGCCGGGGTGATTCTGCAGAGAGCTCATCATCCATTACTCTCCTTTCTGGACAAATTTAGTAGCACCTTCTAGATGTTGGAAGCTCTTTTTAAAAAAATCCTGTTATGTTAGTAATTTAATCGTCAATGGTGACTATATGACTCTTCTGTTCACTGTCTTTCCTAAATTATCCTTTGGTTCCATAATGATGTTTTAATCTATTTGTTCCTCAAGTGTTTAATGTTTCCTTTTGTTCATATCTTTGAATTCATGACAAATTCTCCCATTCCCACCCTTACAAATGCACACTCACTCATAAGCACACCCAGACTCACGCTCACATTCACTCACACATTCCATCTTGTACTCACACACCCACATTCATTCAAATACTGTCACACACATAATCACACACACTTATACTCTCACATACACCCACAAACATATATATATACACATACATATACTCACTCATGCATACATTCACACTCACACACTCATATAGATACAAACTCACACATGCTCATACATACATATATACATGCATACTCATGGGTCTATAGTGTACACATATATTCACTTATTTCTATTCCAATAATTCCCAAATTTGTATTCTTAGTACTGATCCCAGAGTCCCACATTTATATGTTCTGCTGATCCTGAGCCTCGCATCTCCACTTTAACGAGCAAAGGTGGGATTTGACAAATAACATGTCCAAAACCAAATTCCCATCTTTTCTGCCCTCCTGTGTAAGTCTACTTTCCTGTGCATTCCCTGTCTCAGCTAAAGGCATCCTTTCTGTTCTCCACAGCAAAGAGTTCAGGTCTTCCTGAACTCTACTACTTCCCTCACATCCACATCTGACTTTGTAAACTCTTTTTCAAATTACATGCAGGGGCTAACAGCCATTGTCCCTGCCTACCATGTCTGTGTCTACTGTCCTGCTTGAAGCCACCATGAAGTCCTGGGTAGATGTGTGTGTGTGTGTGTGTGTGTGTGTGTGTGTGTGTGTGTGTGTGTGTGTGTGTGTGTGATCACCTCTTTCTTTGTGTGCTTGGGCTATTATAACACAATATTATAAATTAATCCATTATGAACAATAGAAATCCATCACTCTTCATTAAGCTGTCAAGTCTGAGATTTGGTGTAAGCAGAGCTGGCATCTGACCAGGGTCCAGTTTCTGGTTTATAAACAGTGCCTTCTTGCTGTCTCCTCTTGGTGGAAGAACAACAGCAGCCCCCTGGGCCTCTTACAAGGACACCAAACCCATTCCTTAATGCTTTGGCATTCCAAGCTAATCAGCTACCAAGGCTTTATTTAGTTTCTGATGCTACCACATTGCAAACCAGGTTTCAGCACGGGACCTGGGACAGTGCATTGAAATTAGAACACCCCTCCCGCCCCCACCTCTTCCTTCCTTCTCCTTGGGTCCCTTTCTCCTTCCATGTGGACATTCCTTGAAGTTCACAATTCTTGGCTGTGTGGGATGCTGGAAGGTACTCCATATGTACACACGGACACTCATGCACACACACATGAGCGTATACAGGAACATGCATCCACACATACTTGCACACATTCATATAGAAATTTAGAAATTTGGACTGAGAGATGTCATACAGCATGTATAAGCAGTGGACTAGGGACTCAAAGCCAGCCCTTCTGACTCTAAAAAGAGAATTCTGAGCCCAAGTTTCTCATTTGCCATATCCCCATACTATTCACATGTCCAAAATACCTTTTAGAGGGCCAGCTGTTTGTAGTGTAATAAGATACCTGATACAAAGGCATGGGGCCCCAAATCCTCTCCTGGATATGTAGGGGACAGTATGCTTCTCAGGAAAAAAAAACATGAATACAACCTAGAGAACCAAGAGAGATGGTTCTTTTGATCAAGTGAGGAGCTGGGTTCAGATGGAGGCTGACGTGGGGAGGGGAGTGATATCCCAGCATAACATCTTGTCATTCCCAGGGAAGAATAACATGAAATGTTAGAAATAGGGTGGAACATGAAACTTGATACTGCATGAAATCAATGATGTAAATTATAAGCCATCATTTCAGGTTAAAAATGGTGCACTGAGCTTACATTTGCATTCAGTTCTTCCCTGAAGCTCATTATTCTTCTTTCTAATAAATAGACATAAATCATAAAGCCAGAGAGAATGGGAAAGAGAGCAGACAACTTCGGAAGCAGGAAAGCACATGATAAGTGGAGCCAGCCCTGGGGCGTTTAGAGAGGGGAGGAAGCTCCCTTGCCTCCCAGATCCATCCTGGAAACAGACACCGCAGGAACTCAAGCAGGAGGACCTGAAGGTGGAGCTTCGGTTGGGATCGCCACTGAGGACACCTAGACCATACCTGCATTGTGCTCTGCTGAACCAGGGCATAGGAGAGTCAGCTGGGATGCCGCTGTGTGTCTCCTCGCTTCTCCTTTAAAAATCATTTAAATGTTTTTATCACGCGGATGTGTGCGTCTGTGTATGGGTATGTACATGTGTGTGCAGGTGCCCAGGGAGGCGAGAAGAGGGTGTCAGATCCCCTGGAACTGGAGTTGCAGGAGGTTGTGATCTGTATGAAGTAGGTGCTGAATTTGAACTTGGTTCTCTGTGAGAGCAGCAGGGGCTCTTAGCTGCTGAGCCATCTCTCCAGCAGCCATTAATGTATGTGTGTATATTTATTTATTTTGTTTCCTGCAGTTCTGCCTCCCACTGCGGACAAGGCAGCTGGCCAGACCCTGGGGGCAGAACAAGAACCTGACGACACTGAAGGAAGATGAAAGGATGCTTCCATGCAGAAGACCAGAAACTCAGCCAAAGCTTAATCACAGCTCAGCATGTTTTTAAATTGTGTGTGTGTTATATGCATAATTATTTCTTTTAAAATGTAACTGTACTTTTAATATCTGAGGTCACTTTTTATTCTTTGAATGTCTTTCTCTGCTTTGTAGAATTCTGTGAGTGCATTCCTTGTCAAATATGGTAAGTATTTTCTATTTGTCCTTCCAAGTCCCCTCTTCCAGTGTTTACCCAGGGCAGACAGATTCTAGGGTGGTCACCCTCAAGGCTTCACATTCTAGCAAAATCCCCTCTCCTTGAGTATGAGTGAAATGCCAACTTGCTTCTAATGAGCAGAATATGACAGTAGAGGTGAAGCAAAATCCCCTCTCCTTGAGTATGAGTGAAATGCCAACTTGCTTCTAATGAGCAGAATATGCCAGTAGGGATGAAGCTATTGTTATAAATAGGCTAACATCTAGTAAAGACAATGAGATATATCTTACAATTGCATTATAACATTGCTATAGATATAAACGTGTGTGTGTGTGTGTGTGTGTGTGTGTGTGTGTGTGTGTGTGTGTGTGTGTGTATAGATATAAACATGTATATATATGGATGCTTGCTAGTAAGTTTAAGCTTCACCCAACCCCACACATACAGAGCTTCACCTTGCTGGCATGCAGTGCAGAAAGGATCCTGTTGGCCTAAGAGAAGCAGATGTTCATACTGTGAGCGGCCTCAGAACTGAAGGCGGCCTGTTGGATCTGTGGCCACTATTCAACAGCAAAAGCCAGATGACCCAGGATATGATACAAGGAAAAAAGTTCTGCTTAGAACATGAAGGAGCTAGGATAGGCTCATCTACATTGCTCGCTTAAGGTCCTCTTTGATGGAGTTGAGATTCTTGGGCAGCTAAGCCAGGCCCTAACACTTAGTTTGGGTCATGTGCTATACAATTAAAAAGTAGATAGATTTACAAAATTGCCTTAGTGGTCAAGAAGCTAGACCTTGGGAACTATCTAAGATCAAAATTAGCTCCAGTAACTACTTTAATAAGTTACTTAAGCTCCTTATTCCTGAGTTTTGTCAAATATGAAATGTGAGGAAAGCTGGTATTACCAATGAATATGAACATGACATGCGAACACACTCACGGGACTAGAACAGTGACTGACATGAAGCAAGGACCCTGCAGTCCCCATCACAGGAATTATGATAAGCTAACACAATATATAATACTAAATCAAGAACAAATAAACATACAATTTCATGATCAACACTGTAAAGCAATTTGACCAGTTTCCCCTTAGTAACCAAGTTCTCCAGCCTGACCCACTGCCTTCTACTCAGAACCATTGGAGCCCCCAATGTAAGGACACAAAACCATAACTCTATTGTGTGCTGTGCTCAGAATGTCTTCTTGGAACAGACAGAAGGGGAAAAAATTCTATGAATGGTTGGAGGTATGGTGGTATTTTATTTGTACTGAAATGTGATTTTAATTGTATGTTAAAAAATAAAGTTGCCCTGGGGTCAGAGCTATTAGAGCCATAGCAAGAGCATGGTTGTTAGAAGAGCTAGGTAGATTTCTGTGTGTTCAGGGATACAGCCAGCATTGGAGACATACGCCTTTAAGACCTGGAGGGCTGTACTTACAGGCAGTGACGGGGCAGTCATGTGTTTGGGTTTACAACCAATGAGAAGGCAGAACAGAAAGACTATTTAAGACAGACACACAGGAAGAAGCTCTCTTTTGGGGAAGCTAGGAGCACTGCAGGAGATAAGATTTTAGCTCTGGGCTCTGACCTCTCGGCTTTCTCTTTTACATTGGTTCTGTGTTTCTTATTTTAATAAGATGGTTGGATACATCTACATGGAGGGATTTAAAAAAAAAATTAATGACTTGAATGAGACTGTGCACCAAGCATGAAGAGTCATCAACAGATTCCAATAAAATAAGGAACAATGCCCACAGTGATGGAGATGGATAACTCCAAGTTTGAGGATAGGGATGCTTAGATAGCATGCAATATCTCCCTTCAAAAATACTTGTTGGTTACAAGTAAGAAGAGCAACTTCATAGTTTAGAAGTCACAAAGGTAGACATAATTTTAATGAAGTAATAAAAGTCAACATCATCCTTGGTGCTCACAGATTAAACTCATCAGCCACCAGATAGCAAAGAGCACACAGCATCAGGTCTTGTGATGTTCCTGTCACTATTGCACAGCTGAGATCCAGTCACAGTAGCACCAGACACGTACCAAGGAAGGATACTCTAAAGTTCAAAAGAGTCAAGGTCAGAAGTGTCACAAACAGCTCGAGAAACAGTTAGACTGTTCCAGAAGATAGCGTGCTGGAGGGACGTGAGAACCCAATGTGACATGTCACCTAGATTTATCCTACTGGGATATGCATTGGGGATACAACAAAGCAGAGAAAGACCAAACGAAGCAGTCATTGCCGCTTTCATGCTTTGATGGGCTTGCTGTAGTTACCTCACTTGGGGGGACCCTCCTCAAAGATGGGTAACATTGGTAACAATATTTTCAGCTATCTGATTTTTGATGTGGGGTATATATTTTTCTAAATATTCCTATTAATTATTTTGGTCATCTTAAACATATGATTATTAATTTTTTTTGTTGTTTTTTCGAGACAGGGTTTCTCTGTGTAGCTTTGCGCCTTTCCTGGAGCTCATTTGGTAGCCCAGGCTGGCCTCGAACTCACAGAGATCCACCTGGCTCTGCCTCCCGAGTGCTGGGATTAAAGGCGTGCGCCATCAACGCCCGGCCGATCATTAATATTTTTTTCAGTATTTCTGTGGTGCTGGGATGGAACCCAGGGCCTGTGAGTGCTAGGCAAGTGCCTTACCATGGCTACTCAAACCTCTTAACATTTTATAGTTGTTTTTTAAATTTATTTTATTTTTATATTTATATTTTATATTTGTTTTTATTTTAACTTGTTACTTCTTAGTAATCATATCATTATATTGAATGCTAATTATTATATATTAAGTAGCCATGTTTCTATAAGTTCATCAATGATAGTTGTTGACATTTTATCTTTACATATAGTCAAAGCATCATTTCAATATTCATTTTAGGTTATTACAAACATTGAGCCTTTTGGCTACTTTGTACCATTTGTATATCTTCCACTGGAAAGTATCTGTTCACTGATATTGATCATTTTCTGTGAAAATATCCTTTTTATTGATGCATAATAATACCACTAAACTTCTATGACATTAACTCCTTTTCTCATACATAAGTATGGTAAGTAATTTCCATGTAGAATGGTGTTGTTTCTGCTTACTTTATTTTTAAAAAAGAAAACCCTTCCCAATTATGATTTACTTTTTTATATTGTTAGTTTTATTTCAAGTCAAGTTTAGGAAAGCATTTGCTAGCTGAAGATCAGATAAATCTCTACATACCCAGCCTGGGCTTGACTTCCTAGAGATTCTCCTGCCTCAGCCTCTCAAGTGCTAGAGTTAAAACATAATCAACCATGCCTTCATTTTTATTTTCTTTGTGGTTTTTATCTTATAGATCAGATTCTAATACATTAGATTCAGGCTTCTCAAACTTTTTCCTATCTCAACCCTTTTTCACCAGAGAAAATTTTGTAATATGTTAATTGGTATATAAACCAAATATTTAATGACAATAAATCATTAAGAAACTTATTTAAATAATTCTTTGGTATTTTACTTCCTGTTAGATATGAAAGAGAATTTTCAGAATAATGAGATGGGCATGCTTGTTTGGTTTCACATCAAGAATTAAATATTGGATGAATATTTGATTCTGCTGGATGTAGAGTATCTTAAATATTTCCCAGGCTAAATCAATATTTTGATTTATAATTATCAATCATGAGAATGCTGCTTTATATAAATGTATAGTACAAAATAATGGAAATATCTTTAGGGTGATTTTAGAAGTTGCCAGATACTCCGTTCTAGTCCCAAGATGAAATTCATCAAAATATATTTTATGAAACTCAATTTTTCAACTCAAACATTAGTTTTTACAATGTAACATTCTAATTCAATACAATTCAAAGATAATACTAATGGGATACTTACATGCTGAGGAATGATGGTAGGAAAATATTAAAAGCTTTTGCTTTCTGTAATTAAAACATCATGCTTCTACAGAGAAGGAAACTTTGTATATGTATTAAAAACACTACAATTAATAACATGTAATAGCTTCAAACATGAACCTTGGCAGTTTTAGGCAGCATTTGTTGGTGATGCATGATATGGCCACATACCCAGTGCAAAGTATGTATCGTGTGTTTCAGAACCGAGGCTTCAAGGAAGGTGGCAACATGGAGGCGCTCTGCCAGAGACACCTCAGCTTTACTAGCATTCGATGTTGAATTAATCTTTGTTTGTTGCATGTTCAAAAACTTCTTACCTTTTGCCTAATTTTTCAAATCCCCTGTATTCAGTTAAAAACAACAAAGCTGGATATTGGGCCACATGCTAAAAACTGTTTCTGCAAAGGTTTGTTGTAAATGCTTTAGCTCTGTGGGCTGCACACTGGCTTCTCTCCTTTTTGTCCTTACACGGCCTTGAGAACATCTCAGTCATACTTTCTCCGATGCTTTCCAACTTCACACATCCTTGAACTTCAG